AAACCTTGAAGGCACCTCAGGAAAACTTTGGGAGGTGGTCAAAACTTGAACAAAGAAGCACACACACACACACACACACACACACACACACACACACACACCTGGTGCAATGTGTGCTGCGACTCTAGCCAGGCGGGAGGACGCGGGGGAAGGGACTGGGATGGGATGGAGGGAGAGCATACACATGGGATGTACAGGAGGGGGAAGTGGGGAGAGAGAGGATGGGAGGGAGCGGTGGAGGGGAGTGCGACGTGTGTAGACGGTAGTGAGATTAGAATCTCAGATTCGCACCAGTTACCAGTGGCACGTATAGGGAGAGGGTGCGTTACTAACAATCTCAAATCGATAATGAGAGCAGGGTAATAAAATTTCAGCCCAAGAGCTGGTGAAACGAACCTTCAACAGCAGCAGGAGGAGCATCCACCAGCAGTCTCTCGAGCCTCAGCAGTGTGATCTCCGAGTCGATCCAGATAACTTTTGAGGCACCTTTTGAGTCGACTCTGAAGTCAACTTTTGAGGCGCCTTTTGAATCGACTCAAAAGTCAACTTTTGAGGCGCCTTTTGAGTCGACTCAAAAGTAAACTTTTGAAGCAGTTTGTGTGTGATCTATTAGTCGCCTCCAACTAAGGTGACGTTTGATTTGACTCAAGATGACCCACCTGTGCCAAGAGCAGCAGTGGGAGCATCCAGAAGCAGTTTCTCCAGCCTCAACTGGGTGATCTTCTCTTGCTCCTTGGCCGCTATCTGCAGTTCGTATATCGGCTGATTCCCCATGCGCTCCTGCGTGAACGGGGGATCGCGGAATCATTGAGCACCAGACTAAATTAAAAATTGGCACCAAAGAAGGAAAAGAGCACTGCAAAATAAGATGTCTACAGCTAGTCGTGCACATGGAGAAAAAGGAGGGTCTACAGGTTCACCTTCAATGCAGAAAGTATTTTTTAGGCAGGCTTGCTCAAGTATTTTTTAGGCTCGCTTGCTCAAGTATTTTCTGCGGCCGGCTTGCCCTGAGCACAGATGACGAAGATGTGGCCAAAGCGCTGCTCGTCTGCCTGCTCTCAGCCATTTCCAGAGACAGAAGAAGCTGAGTGCCCTGCCAATCACCTTGAGTGCAGCGAGTATTTCTGCGGCCGGCTTGCCCTGAGCACAGATGATGAAGATGTGGCCGAACCGTCGCTCGTAGCGTTGATTGCATTCTGCCATTTCCTGAAAAGGGATAGCCAGGCACACACAAGCAAGCATGCATGCATGCACATGATTCCATTGATTGCAAACGGCGCTTCTGCTACAGGCTTGCCATGTCATGAAAGTGTGGCCAAATCATTGCTCATGGCGAGGAAATGAATGGGGAGAACGATTCGTTACTCAGCCATTCCTGAATGGGGATAGGCAAAAAGGCAGGAGAGGTTAATTTAATTTGCTTTGCTATTGGCTTATCAGGCACCATCTCTCCAAAGCACGCAAATAGTGATGTGTGAATGCAGGGTGTGATGCAGCTGAGAACTGACTCGTGCAACATGGAATAAATAGACGCATAGAAGGGTAAATTGTGAATAAGCACGCTCAAATTGACTTGGAAGGGGATGCGCGCATGCCTGGAAAAAGGCGTCATCAGATGATTGCATGGCCGCTGCTTGCTCGCCCTGTGACCATCTGGTGGTGGGATGTCATTACATGGATATTTGTTTTAAAAAACAGGGGAAAAACGTGCATTGAGTTCATGTGTAAAAGCTCCCGACCGCATATGTTGCAACGTCCACGAAATATTCATCCCCCATGGTCATCACCATTTACCATCAAGTGCAACCATCAGTCACTCACGACGACAGCCATTTACACTTAATCATCCAAATTCTTGCAGCTTTCCTTCACTATTGCCTCAAATCACTCACTGCTGCGTGGAGAACTTTCTTTTCAACGATGCCACGTCACCAATCCTGGGATGGGCACTAAAGGCTTCCAGCCAACCAGCGATGTCCACCTGGCACAAGACGCGAGTCATTAGGGCAAACATAGCTATGTCTGGCTTTCTTGTTTAGGCACCAGAAAATAGGCGACATGCGTTCAGGTTTCAAGAAATCGCGCTGTGTCATGGAGGTGACTTCTGAGTCGACTCAAAAGTCTTCAAGAAATCGTTTTGTGTCATAACAGCCATTGCGACAGACCTACCTCCCTCTCCCTACAGCCAACATCAGCAAAGACCCCAGCACAGGAACACTACTAATCATAAGTTGTGAGAGAGAAAATAATCATTTTAACGGTAAAGAACGCCTCGCCTTGCCTGATTCCACCATACGTCGCTAGCAGCAGTCTGTAAATTCTCGAAGCTTCCGAACGGACGGAGCGCCGCGAGACTAGACGCGAATCTCTTCGATCCGCAGCAGCGAATGAACGCCTCGTTCGCCTCGGCCGCGGGAAGCGCGTTGAGCCATCTTAACCCAGAATCGAGCCGCGATATCCGTTCCTCCATCACGCAGAGACCAGTCAGCCTGATATCTGAAAACCACTAGTTGGTCATCAAACTTCGATGCAGTGGTGAAATTCTGCTTGAGAACGAGAAATCCGTAATTGCGACTTTTGAGGGTCTGTTTTTAGGAGCGAAGTTCGACCTACTTTACGACTTCGTTCACCTCCACATCTCACCACAACTCGAAACAAAGTCGCCCCATCCTTAGTTCAAATGTTGGAGGTTCGCTTTTTTCTTTTTCTTTTTTTGCTCACTAGAAACGCTGTTGGCACCACGGAACGGCTTCCGAACGCGCCCGAACGGCTAGATTCAAGCCAGCAGGGAATCTCACAACCCTCAAGCAAACGGTCATCCTGTGATAATGATGACGAGCTTAGAAAAAATAGAGACTGCGATTGTGGGAATATGATTGATTGCACATAAAAATGGTGGCACCTATCCTTTCTGAGTCCATTACTAGCCTACGTGTTTTGAGACGTCTAAAAACAAGATTATTATCACATTCATTACTAGCCTACTACAGCAATGGCGTCGAATACACTATCTCCACCCTCGCCCACTTCACATAGTGGACCCACCCGGGATACTGCGCTCGCAACACAACTGCGACCTTATCCCCCGCGTTTAGCGACTGCACAAAGAGCGATTGAGCAGTCCACGACTTAGAATGATGCTGCCAATGCCTATCCGCGTGAAGGTTGCGATAGATTTGCTCCCGGGGAGAGGCGAACGAGCCGTCAGGTAATATTCGGATGAGCTCGGCGTAGGTCCACGAGTTGTCGTAGGTATTGTGATCTTCGGGGTAACTGCTCCAGCTGAACAATGGCAAACGGGCAAGGGAAGGGGGAAGGGGGGGAAGGGGGGAAGGGGGGGAAGTGGGGGGTTGGGTTGTGATGACGGACTGGACACAAAATGCCTGAAGCGAAGAGAGGCGAACGAGCCGTGAGGTAATATTCGAACGAGCTCGGCGTAGGTCCAGGACTTTGTCGTAGGTGTTGTGATTTTCGGGGTAACTGCTCCAGCTGATCGGAGATAACGAATGATGAAAATGCAAGAAAGGCGGATAGATCAAAAGTTAACGAACGTCGCCAAAAGCGACGATGTTTTAATCAGAAGCAATATCGCCTCTTGACGAAGCAAAAATGAGGAAAAAACAAATGGGAGACTGCTGGTATCATAAAAAGAAACCCGAACAAAGGGTTGCGATGGCAGACTCATGACGTACCCTTGGTCATGAGCTTCAGCGTCCACTTTAATCTCCTTAATCCATCCTTTTCCGAAATCCACTGGCTGCGAGACCACATACGTCTCTTCCCAGTCCCCACCGCTCATTCTCTCCCGCTGAACCGTTATATCCCTAACTTTGTAGTCTGCGCGCTCGACGATCTTCTCGACTATGTCGCCAGGAATGCGCGGAAGCGTGCCTCCGAAGCCCGTTTGGAAGGCCGACGCGACTTCGCAAAATTGCGACGCGGACGGGGCGAAGGATGGGGCAAGCAGCGTGGAAGGGATGATATCGGGCGCGGCGGACTCCGCGGAGTGGGAAGATTCAGAGTCGGATAAGTCATCGTACGGATCGTAATCGGAATTGGAGTGGATGGGATACTCAGAGCGGCAATGGTAGTTGCGGATAGATTCAGAGTCCCTTCGGCTTCCGAGTCGCCTGCCGAAGGCATTACTAGTGAAGGCGGACAAACGACGTCCTAGGGAAGTGAGAGAACCGCGTCGGTGGCTCATGACGGATGTCACTAAGGAGATATGTGGGTTGCGGGGGAACGAACTTCTGACAGTCAAGCGTTCCTCCGACACTAATGAAATGCACTGAACTCGGAACGCTATGGCTTCTGAATGTGTACTTGTGACGAGAACATACACGCAGAGGACGTCGAGAGGATTTCGCTTTGTTCATTCGACCCGCAACCTCCAGATTGCCAGCGCTTGGGGGAACGCGTCAGCCTTCCCGAGCAAACCTCCCTTGACCCGTGCCGTACCGAGCCGACGCGTGCGAACGAATGAACCCCGTGCTGGGTAGGTTCGCTGGTGCTGGTTAGGTTCGCTGGTGCTGGTGCAGTGGTGCCTTTCCAAGGGAAGGAAAGCAGAGAACGGAGAGCCTCGTACTGTACGATATTGCAACGAACGGATGGATCGAGACTTCGTGGACCAAACAGAAAGTGTGTTGTAGGTTGCGTTAGCGTGACGTGCACGTAACCTGGGAGAACGCACAGCTGTTTTCGAGCCGTGAAGGTGCAAATGACACAGAAATGAAATCAGCTATGCGAAGCAAGCCGCGAACGATTTCCTTCCCTACAATTAGAGGATCAGGGTGCAAATCTGCCCGAAGCGAACCTCGGAAGCGAAAACTGGACCTGAACATGAAATCATTGTGCTTTCTAGCCGAAACTCGAGACTGGGAAGTGTCACCTACAACGTTCTTTCAGGCAACATTCAAGCCAGAATTCCCCGACTGAGCTTTCCCTTGGCCTTTGGCTGTTACAAGTTGCGTACTCCCACAACGGTTCGGCAATTTTTAGTTTAACTCAGAGGCTCATGGTTCACCTAGAATGCTTCCAGCCTCGCTGATTCATTCCGAGGTTTGGCTGCATCAAGCACACCTGTTTCAGCCATTTCTGTTCCAACCATTGCCACCACAATGGCTGGCACAGCGCGGTCCGCTCAGCGCCTATCACGGGCTTTCCACATAACCCTTCAATCTCCACCGATCTTTTCCCATCTGAGCGGATTTCGTCCGCTTATCGATTTCGTTAGTCCAGGCGAGGCCGTGAATGCTCCCGAGACGCGTCTGAACTCCGAGCTGCTTGACACAAACCACCGCTCCGGCTTGAGCCGAGCGCACTCAGACGCGTCGACCTTAATTTTACTCAACCGTATTCGCGCTCAGGAGCATCTATGGCGCGTTCGCGCGGACGCTGCGCGAGTGCTCGTCTCGCGGTGTGCACCGAGCAGCGCCGCTGCCAGTGGTGCCTCCGCTGGGTTGCACTGGCGCGCGGGCGCAAGCGGAAGGGTAGGCGGCGGGGGATTTCCGCGCGGATGGGCGGAGCTGCACCGGGTGGGATTCGCGTGGGGGGAGCCGCGCAGATTTCTGCACAAGATTGCGGTGGAAGAGGAGACGGTGAGCGGGGGGGTGCGGGGGTGTTTGGTGAGGAAGGGGAAGGAGGGGGGCGAGAGGGTGAAAATCGCGGTGGAAGAGGAGACGGTGAGTCAGCGGGTTTTGAGAATTCTCAATAACCAACCGCAGTGGGTGGGCGGTTCTGCGCTGGGGGGGGAGCGTGTGGCGGTGACGACGGAAGGGGGAAGGGGGAAGGGGGAAGGGGGAAAGGGGAAGGGGGAAGGAAGGGGGAAGGAAGGGGGAAGAAGGGGGGAAGGAAGGGGGGAAGGAAGGGGGAAGGAAGGGGGAAGGAAGGGGGAAGGAAGGGGAAGGAAGGGGGAAGGAAGGGGAAGGAAGGGGGAAGGAAGGGGGAAGGAAGGGGGAAGGGAGGGGAAGGGAGGGGGAAGGGAGGGGGAAGGGAAGGGGGAAGGAGGGGGAAGGGAGGGGGAAGGGAGGGGGAAGGGAGGGGGAAAGGGAGGGGGAAGGGAGGGGGAAGGGAGGGGGAAGGGAGGGGAAGGAGGGGGAAGGGAGGGGGAAGGGAGGGGGGAAGGGAGGGGGAAGGGAGGGGGAAGGGAGGGGGAAGGGAGGGGGAAGGGAGGGGAAGGGAGGGGGAAGGGAGGGGGAAGGGAGGGGGAAGGGAGGGGGAAGGAGGGGGAAGGGAGGGGGAAGGGAGGGGGAGGGGGAAAGGGAGGGGAAGGGGAAGGGAGGGGGGAAGGGAGGGGAAGGGAGGGGGAAGGGAGGGGGAAGGGAGGGGGAAGGGAGGGGGAAGGAGGGGGGAAGGGAGGGGGAAGGGAGGGGGAAGGGAGGGGGGGGGGGGAAGGGAGGGGGAAGGGAGGGGGAAGGGAGGGGAAGGGAGGGGGGAGGGAGGGGGAAGGAAGGGGAAGGAAGGGGAAAGGGGGGAAGGGGGGAAGGAAGGGGGAAGGGGGAAGGGGAAGGGGGAAGGGGGAAGGGGAAGGGAGAAGGGGGGGACGAGATAGACGAATTTGCGGTGGAAGAGGCGAAGGTGATTGCGGGGGTGTGGACTGTGGAGGTCATTTTGGGGATAGGGGGAAGGGGGGAAGGAGATGTAAGCCACGTGGGAACGTGGGGAACTTGTGGGGGCGCAAGAGGAGGCCGGGGGGGGAGGGGGGGGATGGGGGGGAGGGGACAGTTGTTTTGTCAACCCGCTCGCCCCGAAGCCAAGAGCAAGTGTTGTATGATAGCTCATGCTGAGAGGGAGAATACTCCCTTTTTCCGTTACATCCTTGCCCCAACTATTCCCCCTTCCGTGCCCCCTCCCCTTCCACCCACATCCCCTATCTTTCCACCTTCCAGCACCTTCCAGCACCTTCCAGCACCTTCCAGCACCTTCCAGCACCTTCCAGCACCTTCCAGCACCTTCCAGCACCTTCCAGCACCTTCCAGCGTTGCACTTTTATTCCTCAGCCGCACCACCCATTCCCGCCTCCCTGCTCCCATCGGCCCCGCTCTCCCACCTTTAAGCTAGGGCTCAGTTATTGAGTGACGCCTCTCCCCCCCCTCTTCTCCTTCCTCCGCTTTTGAGGCGCCTCAAAAACCGCTCTCCCACCTTTAAGCTAGGGCTCAGTTATTGAGTGACGCCTCTCCCCCCCCTCTTCTCCTTCCTCCGCTTTTGAGGCGCCTCAAAAACCGCTCTCCCACCTTTAAGCTAGGGCTCAGTTATGAGTGACGCCTCTCCCCCCCCTCTTCTCCTTCCTCCGCTTTTGAGGCGCCTCAAAAAACCGCTCTCCCACCTTTAAGCTAGGGCTCAGTTATTGAGTGACGCCTCTCCCCCCCCTCTTCTCCTTCCTCCGCTTTTGAGGCGCCTCAAAAACCGCTCTCCCACCTTTAAGCTAGGGCTCAGTTATTGAGTGACGCCTCTCCCCCCCCTCTTCTCCTTCCCCCGCTTTTGAGGCGCCTCAAAAACCGCTCTCCCACCTTTAAGCTAGGGCTCAGTTATTGAGTGACGCCTCTCCCCCCCTCTTCTCCTTCCTCCGCTTTTGAGGCGCCTCAAAAACCGCTCTCCCACCTTTAAGCTAGGGCTCAGTTATTGAGTGACGCCTCCCCCCCCCTCTCTCCTCCCCCGCTTTTGAGCGCCTCAAAACCGCTCTCCCACCTTAAGCTAGGGCTCAGTTATTGAGTGACGCCTCTCCCCCCCTCTTCTCCTTCCTCCGCTTTTGAGGCGCCTCAAAAACCGCTCTCCCACCTTTAAGCTAGGGCTCAGTTATTGAGTGACGCCTCTCCCCCCCCTCTTCTCCTTCCCCCGCTTTTGAGGCGCCTCAAAACCGCTCTCCCACCTTTAAGCTAGGGCTCAGTTATTGAGTGACGCCTCTCCCCCCCTCTTCTCCTTCCTCCGCTTTTGAGGCGCCTCAAAAACCGCTCTCCCACCTTTAAGCTAGGGCTCAGTTATTGAGTGACGCCTCTCCCCCCCCTCTTCTCCTTCCTCCGCTTTTGAGGCGCCTCAAAAACCGCTCTCCCACCTTTAAGCTAGGGCTCAGTTATTGAGTGACGCCTCTCCCCCCCCTCTTCTCCTTCCTCCGCTTTTGAGGCGCCTCAAAAACCGCTCTCCCACCTTTAAGCTAGGGCTCAGTTATTGAGTGACGCCTCTCCCCCCTCTTCTCCTTCCTCCGCTTTTGAGGCGCCTCAAAAACCGCTCTCCCACCTTTAAGCTAGGGCTCAGTTATTGAGTGACGCCTCTCCCCCCCCTCTTCTCCTTCCTCCGCTTTTGAGGCGCCTCAAAAACCGCTCTCCCCACCTTTAAGCTAGGGCTCAGTTATTGAGTGACGCCTCTCCCCCCCCTCTTCTCCTTCCCCCGCTTTTGAGGCGCCTCAAAAACCGCTCTCCCACCTTTAAGCTAGGGCTCAGTTATTGAGTGACGCCTCTCCCCCCCTCTTCTCCTTCCTCCGCTTTTGAGGCGCCTCAAAAACCGCTCTCCCACCTTTAAGCTAGGCTCAGTTATGAGTGACGCCTCTCCCCCCCCTCTTCTCCTTCCCCCGCTTTGAGGCGCCTCAAAAACCGCTCTCCCACCTTTAAGCTAGGGCTCAGTTATTGAGTGACGCCTCTCCCCCCCCTCTTCTCCTTCCCTCCGCTTTTGAGGCGCCTCAAAAACCGCTCTCCCACCTTTAAGCTAGGGCTCAGTTATTGAGTGACGCCTCTCCCCCCCCTCTTCTCCTTCCTCCGCTTTTGAGGCGCCTCAAAAACCGCTCTCCCACCTTTAAGCTAGGGCTCAGTTATTGAGTGACGCCTCTCCCCCCCCTCTTCTCCTTCCTCCGCTTTTGAGGCGCCTCAAAAACCGCTCTCCCACCTTTAAGCTAGGGCTCAGTTATTGAGTGACGCCTCTCCCCCCCTCTTCTCCTTCCTCCGCTTTTGAGGCGCCTCAAAAACCGCTCTCCCACCTTTAAGCTAGGGCTCAGTTATTGAGTGACGCCTCTCCCCCCCCTCTTCTCCTTCCCCGCTTTTGAGGCGCCTCAAAAACCGCTCTCCCACCTTTAAGCTAGGGCTCAGTTATTGAGTGACGCCTCTCCCCCCCCTCTTCTCCTTCCTCCGCTTTTGAGGCGCCTCAAAAACCGCTCTCCCACCTTTAAGCTAGGGCTCAGTTATTGAGTGACGCCTCTCCCCCCCCTCTTCTCCTTCCTCCGCTTTTGAGGCGCCTCAAAAACCGCTCTCCCACCTTTAAGCTAGGGCTCAGTTATTGAGTGACGCCTCTCCCCCCCCTCTTCTCCTTCCTCCGCTTTTGAGGCGCCTCAAAAACCGCTCTCCCACCTTTAAGCTAGGCTCAGTTATTGAGTGACGCCTCTCCCCCCCCTCTTCTCCTTCCCCCGCTTTTGAGGCGCCTCAAAAACCGCTCTCCCACCTTTAAGCTAGGGCTCAGTTATTGAGTGACGCCTCTCCCCCCCCTCTTCTCCTTCCTCCGCTTTTGAGGCGCCTCAAAAACCGCTCTCCCACCTTTAAGCTAGGGCTCAGTTATTGAGTGACGCCTCTCCCCCCCCTCTTCTCCTTCCCCCGCTTTTGAGGCGCCTCAAAAACCGCTCTCCCACCTTTAAGCTAGGGCTCAGTTATTGAGTGACGCCTCTCCCCCCCCTCTTCTCCTTCCTCCGCTTTTGAGGCGCCTCAAAAACCGCTCTCCCACCTTTAAGCTAGGGCTCAGTTATTGAGTGACGCCTCTCCCCCCCCTCTTCTCCTTCCCCCGCTTTTGAGGCGCCTCAAAAACCGCTCTCCCACCTTTAAGCTAGGGCTCAGTTATTGAGTGACGCCTCTCCCCCCCCTCTTCTCCTTCCTCCGCTTTTGAGGCGCCTCAAAAACCGCTCTCCCACCTTTAAGCTAGGGCTCAGTTATTGAGTGACGCCTCTCCCCCCCCTCTTCTCCTTCCCCCGCTTTTGAGGCGCCTCAAAAACCGCTCTCCCACCTTTAAGCTAGGGCTCAGTTATTGAGTGACGCCTCTCCCCCCCCTCTTCTCCTTCCTCCGCTTTTGAGGCGCCTCAAAAACCGCTCTCCCACCTTTAAGCTAGGGCTCAGTTATTGAGTGACGCCTCTCCCCCCCCTCTTCTCCTTCCTCCGCTTTTGAGGCGCCTCAAAAACCGCTCTCCCACCTTTAAGCTAGGGCTCAGTTATTGAGTGACGCCTCTCCCCCCCCTCTTCTCCTTCCTCCGCTTTTGAGGCGCCTCAAAAACCGCTCTCCCACCTTTAAGCTAGGGCTCAGTTATTGAGTGACGCCTCTCCCCCCCCTCTTCTCCTTCCTCCGCTTTTGAGGCGCCTCAAAAACCGCTCTCCCACCTTTAAGCTAGGGCTCAGTTATTGAGTGACGCCTCTCCCCCCCCTCTTCTCCTTCCCCGCTTTTGAGGCGCCTCAAAAACCGCTCTCCCACCTTTAAGCTAGGGCTCAGTTATTGAGTGACGCCTCTCCCCCCCTCTTCTCCTTCCTCCGCTTTTGAGGCGCCTCAAAAACCGCTCTCCCACCTTTAAGCTAGGGCTCAGTTATTGAGTGACGCCTCTCCCCCCCCTCTTCTCCTTCCCCCGCTTTTGAGGCGC